CTTTCTCCCTCTTTCTCCCTCTTTCTCCCTCTTTCTCCCTCTTTCTCTCTCTTTCTCTCTCTTTCTCTCTCTTTCTCTCTCTTTCTCTCTCTTTCTCTCTCTTTCTCTCTCTTTCTCTCTCTTTCTCTCTCTCTCTCCCTCTCTCTCTCTCCCTCTCTCCCTCTCTCTCTCTCTCTCTCCCTCTCTCTCCGTCCCTCCCCCTCGCTCTCTCTCTCTCTCTCTCCCTCTCTCTCTCTCTCTGCTCCCTCTCTCTGCTCCCTCTCTCTCTCTCTCTCGCTCTCGCGCTGAATCCACAAATCAAATTTACACCCATGCCGCATGAACCTGCCAAACCCTACTTAGGTAAACCTGTTGACCTACTTTCCGACTACAGCCAATTCCGAAGAATCGTCATTCCCCGATGGAGTGAGTCAAGGCCAAATTTGCCAGTCCATGGACCGTTCAGCTCTTCAAGAACTCTCGCGCCTTCCGCAGCTCTTCCGCACTCTCCCCCGCCACAGCAGCAGCTAGCTCGGCTTGAGCTTGACTCTTTGCGCGCTCCAGCTTGCCTTAGGTTCCAGTACGTGGCTGAATGGCTGATAGGGTGTGAAGATCAAGAACAGTATAGTACGCTAGTGCACAAGTCCGCAATCATTGTGTTGTCCATTCGCGAAATGGGATTTTGATCAAAACAAACGCCCAGAACTGCCCAGAACAGGCTATACGTGATCAAACACCAAAACGTTCCAAGAGACTTTCAAACGCCCCTACATCCTCAGCCTTTACAACTCATGCAAACACTCACCCTATCCTGGAGAGGTCCTAAGGACTACAACCCTTCATCGATCATCACTTAGGCAAAATGTTCGACAGTTCGACAGTCTGGCGGAAACCTCCGAAGTTGAAGAACCTCTTGATACATATTGCCTAATTCGGCTTGGACCTAGGATGCCTGAATCAAATCGGCAAAACATGCAAAAAATAGCTTAACACAACACCTACCTCTGACCAAAGTGTCGGCGAGAAGTTGCCAGTCACGTCTTTGACTGTTTGTATCTGTTTGTTGGGTAAGCTGCGGTGTCAGCCTCCAGCTTTAAATAGCTACCCAGCTAGTGAATCTAGTGGCATGTTCGATGCGTCTTGGCCTTTGTCGTCGTGCTTCGCTGTGTTTTGTTGTGTCCATTTGTGTCCATTGTCTTGCTTTACCTGTGGCATTTAGGCTTGTTCTTGGATATCTTTCCTCTTTTCTTTGCATGTTGTCTTGGTTTTGTTTGCTTGTTTTTGCATTTTGCTGGCCGTGTTTCTCCTATCCTTTGTTTGCATGCCTACTGTAAATACTCTGTTGTGGTTTTGGCATGATGCTAAGTTGAATACTTACACAAGCAAATGGCTAACCTCTACATCTATGTCTCTAATTTTAGACAATGATATATACTCAGATAGACAGTACCAGAGCGTCCCACTGTTTGATGCAGGATCTGAGATGCTCACTTTTATCTCTCTTCTCTTTCTGCAATTTGAACAGAGCCTGATGCATTGGCCACGCCATGCAAGAGCAAAGTATAATACAAGGAACTCTAGGAGGAAAGTTCCCAACAAATTCTCTCTCTCTCTCCAGAGGTGGGAAGCCAATCTCTAGGCGTGATTTTTTGCTTCTGGCCCTCTCTGGGACATCCAGTGCAAATTCAGGAACTGATGGCCTTTTTGGCCGCCGCCAGTTGCTCTTGTCCCACACCAGCAGAATCTGCTTTCGAGATTGCTGCAGCCAAAGCTGTAGCATCGCCTGGCTAGGTTGAGTTAGCACGGGGATCCAGCAAAGGACCCTCGTAAATCACACATGTTATGTCAAGTCACGCAATATCAATGCTAGGATTCTACAAAGATGGTGTTTTTTCTCAAGGGTCCCAGGTTGGACATTGCTTTTGACCATGAAAACGGTTTCGCAATCTTCCGGAAAGTCACCAAAGGTAATTCCGCACCTGCGGCCTGTGCCGCTTCTAGCTCTGCCAAAGCTTCCAACTGGCAAAATGCAACTTTGAGGGTGCCAAACACTCCATGAAATTCTGGACACCGATGCATTGAAGAAAAGGTTCACAATCTTTTAGGTTGGAGGCCATCGCTAGGCCATCGCTTTTATCCTGTTCACCTGGCAGTCTGGCGCCAACAGATGTGCGCTTCCCACAAACCGCTGTTCGGTGAGTTGGTGCTTGAGAGTGGTTCAACATCTGGAACAGCGTTGTAGCAGCTCTATAAACATGTCGTTACATGCACAAGCATTTGCTCTGGCATGGCCAGAGTCTTCTTTATTTGCTACTTTGTCGAGGTGATTGGCTCTTGAGTCAGCGCAACCAATCCAACAGCGTGCCCAAAACGCATGGCACAGCCAGCTGCGGCTCATTCCTCTGGGGTGAGAGAATTCACCTAGCGGTTCGGAGGAAGATGCTACGCAAAAACAGCTCAGCGCTCCATGCACACTTGGCGGCTATATCCTGGGGGCCCAACAAACCCGCTGTCATCCACCGTCTAAAGGGTCGCCTCCGTTCGAGATATCTGTCACAAGTATCGCATTCTAGAGCTTCTTCATTGTCTTCTTGTTTCTTTTTTGGGGGATTCTTAGGGGCATTGAACTGCTAGCATTATACGGTATACGACATGATCCTAGATCTTCAAAAACTATCTTCATGCATCTCCCCAACGAAGGGACATTTGCGGCACTGCAATATGAATGTTTTGGATTGCCTCCTCATGGCTTTGCAGCCGTTCGAAAGCGTGCAGACCAGCGGATGATGGTGCCACTGGTGGCAAGCACCAGCCTGGAGAAAAGAGATAGGATGACATGGAAGATCACAGTCTGATTCGGGTTTGTCCCCGTGACCGAGGTGTGACGTGCCAATCCGTGGCAAAGCGGCCAAGCAAAGCGGAGCGATCGGGAATACAGGCCATCTACATCCCAGGCGACTCTCTTCAGAGTAGAAAGCAAGACTCTGATCTGCTGGAGCCGTCTGGACATCCCTTTCCTGCATTAACTCTGGAAGCTAGCCAATCAGGGTCTCGCAACTTGCAACCGAAGGTTTGTGGAAGTCCACAAACTTGAGCACAACAGTTTGCAACAACAAGTTCCTCTAGTGATCTGCATAGTTTGCCACTTCCCCCTCTCAGGCTGTGCTGGGTCTCCCAAACGGAAATCGGACAGCTTCCAGCAGCTCGTTGACCTGAAATCCGGTCGAAGTCATGTGGTTGCCAACGATTCCGATAAGGCATGATAAAACCGCCAAACTCGAACCAAGTCAAAAAGAAACGGAACGTCAGTGGTCTGACTAAAAGCTTTTCCATTGTAACGACAGCCAAGTTCAATAATTCAATGCACTGAAACCATATCTATATATATATATAGGCCGGAGGCCCTACAAATGATGCGGGTTGGTTGGGGGAACTTTTGATTCATTCATCTCTTGAACAAGACATTGGCGTCTGAGAAGCAACAATCGGCTGCAGTTTTCTTAGTCCGGTTGTCTTTCCAGGTGTCTTCTTTCCAACCAGCAAACTCTGGAAGAACCACTTCACGCCACCGTTCCTTGGACTCACATTCCAACGTCTGTTTGCAAACTCCAGAATGGGTGCCAAGAGTTCTGGCAAACAGGATCTCACAGACGTAAACAAACCAAAGGTTCACGTTCTCTCTCAAACACTCAAATCCTTGATGCGAAAAAAAAGAAAAGATAGAAAAAACAAAGATAAGGCCCCTTTGAGGAGGCTTAAGGAGCCCTGCCTTCCCTTCCGCAGTTCGCACCAGCAGAGTCAGTTCAATCTCCCTTGACGGCAATCAATCTCGGTCAACCCTTATACCTTATACCGCACAGGAAACTCTGGCTGAAAGAGCTCAAACAAACATTATCCAACCTCCATAGGACCCGACCCCAACAGCCCCAAGGGCCCCCGGCCATGAAGGCAATCACCAAATTTCCCGTACTGGAATCCTGTGAGCTCCGGATTCTGCGGCACACGTGGCAGGCATTGGATTCACTGCATTCCCGTGCATGGATTCTTCACGTCCATTGACCAAATCACACGATTCGCGGCGTATTGCATTCGCAGATTCCGTTCGAAAGCGCTTCGGTTTTTCGGTACTTCCACCTGAATGCTCTTCACTCAGTCAGTCAAGGAGATATATCGGCCAACTTGCAGCTCAGCTCATCTGACTTCAAATCGACCGAAGCAAGTTTCTGAAAGATGCATGTGCACTGAGGCCTGAGTTTTGAATTCTGGAGCCTTCACTCACCCATGTGGTCACTCCACCCGCTCTCTGGCTGAGTCCGAGACGATTCTTTCAGTGTACCAATCCAAACCCAAGCTCTCAAAGAAAGGACGTAAGGACTTCTGCCATGACACAACCTGCCAAAGTTGAAAGGCACGTGACGCACTTTGATATAGAAAAGTTCAAAGTTTTTTGGAGAAGGTTTGGGCTCAGACTTGGCATGACTTGGCCAAACTTGGCACTCCTTGAAACCAGGAAGCCCGTCAACGAGCCTCCCACTCCAGCAGCAGATACAAGCCCAAGAGGCTGCCAGACCAGCAAAACGCATACCTGAACCCAGGACCAAAAGCGAATACAAGTGCCTGTGCACAAACTAGACTAGAGGTGTGCATTGGTAGTGGCCCGCGCGTATCTCTAGGGCTTCCCCAAATCCATAGGCAGTTTTTTGTCTTATGTCAGCCTTTGCTACCAGTACATGCCTACGCAAGCCTCAACTCCCAAGCAGAATGAGCTGCATAAAGATGTCACATTGTTTCTTTTCTTTATGACCGGATACTGCACAACGTGTTGAAGTGCAATCACTGACATCGGCAGTGTCTGCTGTGTATGTGGGACAAACAAAAGCTTGACATAAGTGCCCTGCCACAGAGCAAAAGGTGCGCCATACTCCATCATTGCAGCAATGAAGCCCTTCCTGCCAAGATCCAAAGAGATTCTCACAGAGTATACCGAGTCAACGTAAAACTCATTGCACGTAGTGGACAACAGGCAAAGGCAAAGGCTGTCCTTTTTGCTATCTTCTCAACCTGATCGGTATGCGCAACAGGTCAGGTGATAGAAAGCTGAGTAGCGAACAACCCTGGGCTGAAGCAACCTTGTTATAGCCTATCCATGAGTACCTGATAGTCATTCCTGGCAAAGTGCAACACAGAATCCAGTTGAGTAAGAATGAACCGCTTCATTAGCAGTCGAGCTACACCTGATACCACGCCAGAATTTCACCTTTGCAAACTGAGTCTTGCAATGCCTTGCTTGATGACAAACTGACAAACCCGATCTCAGACTGCAGCTTCTGTGAGTTTCTGTTTCAGTGACTGAACCTCTGTCTCCAATTTGGCGATCCGCTCCTTCGGCTTAGTCACCGGCCCCCAAAAAAGAAGCACGAAACCCCTCAGTGACCGCAAACAGCCCGTATTACATATGAACAATCCAAGCTTGAACGCTACTAGGGGCTCCTGGCCTTACTACTAGGAGCAATGTTCGCTACTAGTAACAAAGGGCAAGAAGCTTCAATTTTACCGTAGAGATCTTTGGCTGCACTGATGTTTGCCACAAGTGCTTTAGTCGAATCTAACTGCACCAAGGGCCCATTTGGACCTTCTCCGATGTAGGCAACCTGTTCTATATCGTACTGTTGAGAGGCCCATAGAGGTTCTAGGTCCGATAGTCCTGATTTGCTTTCAATAGAGGTCAATGGGCCAAATATCACGTTGCCGTATTATATACACGCCTGACTTGGGGATGCAGGACTACAAGAAAATACAACTAGTGGTGCTTTGACGATTCACTCCTAAAATTACTGGGTGGTCGCCCTAAATCATAGCAGGTGACTGGAAGTCACAAAAACTGCAAAAGAACCTTCCAGGCACGCAGAATATACCACGCTGCATTAGGGCTGACAAGGCATCGCAGCCGTGCACCACAAAAAATAGGCATGATTTCATGCATGTTACTGTTTGCACGACATCCAAAGAAAACACCAATCTATACAGCACGATGCCAAGAACCGACTGGTTTCAGCAACTCTCTGGGCATTGGGGCAGGCAGCTCAGGACGACTTAAATTTTGGCCCAGTGACATTAGACTATCTTGGGTATTGGGAATCTTGGGTAGCCCTGCCAATGGTTGAGTGGAGTCTCCAGTTCACCCCGGATGTTAATGCAAACTTCCTCCATGCCTTTCAGGTGTGTCTCCGAGTCTCCTCCGTTGACGTGCTACCAGAGCAGCAGCGGATCGGCCAGCCTATGCTTTCAGCTGGATGGATGCGTGCATCAAACAAAGCAACAAGGACTTGGAGGGGGTGTATAACAAACCACAACAAACCCAGACACAAGAAAGTTCCCCTAGCGGTTTTTCATTTGGCTGTGGTTTCTCCGGAATACTGTATTCATCATTGTTCATCTGTACTGTATTCACTTGATACCTTCTTCTTGACCCTCCGCCTTTCAGCAGCTCCAATCTAAGGGGCAAACGCCAAGCGCTTTGGCACCTTGAAGCCTCCAATGAGAGTGGGAGGCGACCTCAGGTCAGACCATGAAGACTTTCTGCTTTGCTTGCAGCGCATCCGACAAGATTGGGTGAATGCCCTAAGCACCCAAGCGCTGTCACTCCACTTTTTGGTGTGTGCTTGTGTGTAAGTGTGAGCTTTCCTGGGAAAGAGACCTTTGCACTGCCTCGTGGCAGTGACAAGCTGCCGGCAAGGCGACCGAATGGACCTGACAGGTCTCCACGTCAACTGGACATCGATGATTATCTAAGGGTAAAATTGTACGTATACTAGATACATGTCATATACAGTACAATCAGTGCAATGCTGTGTTGGAACAATCTCTCAGCGCAAAAGCTAGTGGTCTGGTTCCAAAATGTTAGCACAGGTGTCCGAGGCCTGCCCATCAAAGGGGACAACCAAAACAACAAGGAGAGAGAAAGCAGGTACAAACAACGGGAGAACAAGTTCTGTGAAGGTGACCAAAGAAAGCATGATGGGGAGGTCGGCAGGAAAAAAACATGAGATTCTGCCTTTCCCAAATTAGGAGATGATTAGGTGCTGTGCTGAGCTTCAGTATGCTGAACAAAGACTGTGATGGGTCGAATGACGAATTACGCAATCATATATGGGTACTACCCATATGTATTCAAGCAAAAAAGCTGTAAATGAATTTGCTGTGTACAGCGGTAATTGGGGACAACAGTGCCCCTTGAGGAAGAGCGACAAGAATACTGACATGGCTTCCAGCCAGCTTGGAAGCAATGTTATGTTATATGTTAATCCGACTCCGCTGACACAAGTTCTTCTGAAAAAACCTGACTCAGCCTGACGCCTCAAAATCCAACACCAATCCAAGGTATCAGTGGAATCTTTCTGAAGCTACTTCTCCCTCTGGTTCCATCATTAAGCGCACCAAGCCTGGACACGAGTCTTCCATAGGCCAGCATGTGTGGCAAGATCTTGACCTATGTGCAATCACCAATGGCTGGGACAAAGTTGACCGGGTCACATGTCTGCTTGAGACGAAGTCTGGCTGAACAACGTTTGTAAACAAGAATGCCTCAAACTGTCACACGTGCACTAATCAATGTATAAAAATCAATGTATAAAGAACAGTTACACCAGCTAATACACCTTGAAAACCTTATGCCAATGTCAGCCTAGCCTGCACAGCTAGAGCTGTTGGGCCAAAAATGTTGCGGAGAGGGTTCTAGCAGCTTCATGTAAGACCGGTTCGATGAATGCCAAGGCTCGATGTCAAAAAGAGAACTGGACGTCCATCCCAGTTGTAAACCAGCAAAAGACGTTGAAATCTTCCGTGTAGGATTTGAAACTCAAGAGCTTGATGCAGTCATGGGACACAAGTCTTCTGTGAGGAATTCAGCAAACAAATCTAAACTTACCACCACAATCCACCACACATAAATTCCTGTCTTGCCTGCGGCCCTTCCTTCTGCCTCGCGCGAGAAAATAGATCAGCGAGGGAAAATGCTGACAAAGTTGCTTCTCTCACCAGGAACACAAAACGAGTCCGCTCATATCGGCATGTGCTCTTTTGCTCCTTTTTCTCTGTTGCAGTCATCTCAGCCAACTGAGGACACGAAGCGCCGCCATTGTTTGCAATGACGGTGTTCAACCTAAGTCAAGCGATGCTGTCGACCCTAGGTCCAAACGCACCAATTTTCATCCTGAATCCAGGTCAAGGCCAGGATGTGTCGAACAAAAGCGCGCTCATCGTTCTCACATTCCTTCATATACTTGTTCCAGGGCACACACTTATAACACACTTCTGGGGTAGTCCGTAGAACTCAAGACTAAGATATATGCCATGCAATTACATGCAATTACAGTACTACAGTAATATTTACATTTAAATTCGCATGGTAATAGGCTACTATTCCAATGACAATTGTAGCGTATCCACTGCTGATTCACTGGGTACCCCAGGCAGCTTTGTCAGCACAGCTCCATCCCCCGAGTGTACAAGTAGAGCTTGTAGTCGGCTTGCCAGCTCAGCATCCAGGAGCCTGCCAAGGGATCGTGTGAACATGGCCTGCCAAGGGATGTAATTAGTTGTTATGATGGTTGTTATGTGACAGCACATTACAGCTCGATCAACTGTTGGCCTTGCTCCAATGCGCGCTCCCAAACAATCCCAACGACTAGCATTGCCTGGTTGCAGAGCCCAAATCCAAATGAAGGGATGTCATGCCCGAGAGCGCGCCTAAGGAAAAGCATGATTGAGGTCTGCCTAACCTCCCAGAATGAGTTTCGTCATACTAGGCTACAAGCACACCCAAAAGGGGTGCTGAAGAAGTCATCTCGTGAGGAACGCCTACATGGTCTGCCGGCGGTTGAACGGGTCAGTGGCGCTGACGCCCAAAGCTCCAAAACCCTCTGCCACTTTGATGCCGATGTCACTGTCTGAAAATGAAAAGCATGAATCTGGTGATCGATTTTGTATGTTGTTTTTGTTTTACTACTCGCAGCATTCTGTTTCTATAGCGGATTAGCCCGTATATGGTAGCGGAACTTTCACGTATATCTTATCTCGTGACAAGATGCCGGAAAGATGCAGTGCCATCACATTGAGATTGCCCGTCTCAAAAGAATCAACCTTGGACAGCACTAAAAGCTCAATGAACTCCTCGCTCTGCTCGGTTGGACTGCTCTGACAAACTCACCTTCGCAATGTCGCACAACTCTCCGGGCTCTCTAGGTGAGAGTGACTTGCGGGCTCAGCTTGGTCCATTTCGGCATGTATGTCAATGTATCTGTCCTGGGTGCTCTGAGTGATGGACGGTCACCTCAGAGGAATGATTGCAATGCTTGAGTAGAATCCAGCCTTGCTTGCAATTCTGGATTGGCTACGATAAGCAATGACATAATGACATTGCAAAACAGAATGTACAATGAACTCACGATGAACTCACAAGGAGGAAACTGACTCTTCTGGCTTGGTGGCATTGCGATTGAAGGCTTCACCCGGCTTGCATTCAGCCGAAACCTGAAGAGCAAACTGGGCCAAGTCATGTTTTCATTAATAAAGCACAATCAAGTTCAATAACAACATTCCTTGAGTTCTACAATAATATAAGTATGTTGTTCTTTTCTTTCGCGGCATTCTGGCACCTCAAGATACCTCAAGGAATTGAAAGTACTAAGTTACTCAAGTACACTTACATAGATCAAATTGGCCGGCTTGCATTGTATCGCCCAGGTAGTGGCATGTGATTTCCCTAATTACTTCCCCGATATCTAGCTGCCATTCCCGTCCTGGCCTGCAGTGTCCAGTTCAAGCCCTTGGGGCAACAAACTTGCCCTTCCAGTAGGGTTCGTCGGAATTGCATTGCCTCGTCGCATGAGCGCTGGAAGTGAACAAGACGGGCTCCACTTGGTATTTTCGAAAAGACTTTACTGTAGGGGGGAGTGGTCCCTGGGTGTTCGCAGGCCGGCGAATCTTGTCCAGACTCAGGCCTGCAAATGCACTTGCAAATCCTGAGCTTGTGGCTGCGAATCGCAGCGTGGCTTGCAAATTGACGAACACTGCGTGTGTGTGTGTGTGTCCACCCCTGGACAAAGGGTTTTACTCCGCCACTTCTGTCACAGATTTTCCACCACCTTTTACATGCAGGGGGCAGAGGGATCTC